TAATATTGATATTTTTTTAAATTTATATTTATTTAAAAATAAAATTATTATTGTTTTCTTAAAAACACATAAAATCGTATTATAATATCAATATAGACAAATAATAAAATAAAACATTAAAATCAAAATGTATACTAAAATAGCAATGGTGTAAACCACATGTACAAAAACAATAACAAATTATAAACTACAAAAGTAAAAGTCATAATTTTAAAAACACAAAAGACGTCACAGGGATGAAAATAGCATTTTCCAGTAAACAAGATACAAAAAACGTAGTTTACTTTATCTAAAAAGTCTTGTACCTCATTTTATGATTGGAAAAATAGATATATCACTTTTCTTGAATATGGATTACGTGTTAAGAATTACGATTCTAATAGTTTATTACGAAATAGTTACGACCATTTACGAAAAGTTCGTCGATGGTCGTAAACATTTTACTATTTCTACAGTATTTTTCAAGGATCATGACTTTTGATTAGGGTCAATAAAATTTTCTACTGGTTACTCATTTTTGTAAGATCTACGTCGCCAGAATTTCGTAATCTACGTCATCATAAATATTCATAAACAATTCGTAACCATTTTCGTAGTAACTTTAGAAATGCCATAATTATTGATTGGTAGCTCGGATCAAAATGACTTTTTTAATTGCATATTTTTTTAAAAAAAATTCATGTCGGTGTAATTTCGTAATCTAAATCATTATGATTATATTGTAAATTATCGTAAAAATTTGTGAATACATCTTGGTATTCACACACAAGCATTCAAAACATTGAATGAATTATCTCACTATATATACATATAGAGAGGGGTAACTTATTATGTAACTCTTTACATTTATATAACCAATAACTTAATCTTAATCGTCCATTTAATTTAATGAATATGTGATTTTATAAAAGTTTAGTTTCATAATATAAAATATTAATCATAGTTAATGAATCATAGTCTTCTTCCATAAATATTTAAATCATAATAAATGAATTCTTATCATATTTATAAATATCTCAATTAATTAGGTTGCATTGGTTGTACAAATACGATGTGTTGCATTTAAAACGTAATATGGTAATTCAACCCACTATCAACTCTCTCTTCCAGATCCTTCTTTCACTCTCCTCGGGAATTATCTCCTTGACCTAACACTAATTACACGTATTTGAATCAGTGTTTCATTCTCTCTAACTTTTTTAATGTTCTAAGTTTTGACATCCTACTAGATATAATAAGTTATATTTCACAAGCCAACTTATAAGTTATCTGATAGCTGATAAACTAGTTGATAATTAATAAATTAGCTGATGGTTGATAAACTAGTTGATGATTGACAAGTCAACTGATGAACAAATCATGCATGTTTGTAAAAACTACATGATAAACATGTAAAATGACAAAAAATGATATCTTCAAAAATTAGTCAATATATTTTATAATATAATTAAAACAAATATTTAATAATATTTATATTTATACTATATTATAAAGCATTTGACAAAAACTCTTAAAAACCATTTTTTATGCATGATATATTGTCTATTGATGCATATTACTTAAAATTCAAAATTATAAATAAATTATGCATAACTACAACTTATTAAAGCTCTATGTTTGAATTCGTGTAACTAACTGCGGATAAACATAATCAATTAGAGGATAAACATCTCATTTTAAAATATAAAAAATCTAAAATATAATTAAGATAATTATTGAGTTCTAGCAAAATAATTAATTATTATCTTTATAAGAAAATTATATTATTAAACTAAATATAAATTACTTCGTTATTGAACCTAGATTAAGTTATAACAAAAAAGATTGAATTAAAAAATTACACAAAAATATGAATTTTAAATAGTAAAATTATAACAAAAAAATTGAATTAAAAAATCACATAAGACCATATTATAACATCGACTGAGATAAAAAATAAAATGAAATATTAAAATAAAAATGTATCTCGCTACATTGTACGAGTACCCTTCTAGTTATATCATAAATCATTTGATAAAAACTCTTAAAAATCATTTTTTTATGCATTAAATACTGTTTTTTATGCATATTACTTATAATTCAGGATTACAATTAAATTATGCATAAGTACAACTTATTAAAGCTTCATTTTTGAGTTCATGTAACTAATTGTACTACTGTAGATAAACATAATCAAATACTGGATAAACATCTTATTTTAAATATAAAAAATCTAAAATATAATTAGGATAATTATTGAGTTCTAACATAATACTTAACTATTATTTTTATAAAAGATTATATTATTAAAGTAAAAATAAATTTCTTTGTTATTAAACTTAAATTAAATTATAATTAAAAAATTGAATTAAAGAAATAACACAAGAAAAAATTTAGTAGTTAATTTAATACTAGTTGTGTACCCGCGCAATGCGCCGGGAGTCATGACTTTTAAAGATTTTGAAGTTCCACTGGTTTTATAAGATAAGATTTAATGATGATATAGGTTACAATTGGTCTTTACATATTAATATAACTTGAATAAATAAGAGCTATGGTTCCAATTACAGATTATCGATGAAAACAATTGTATGACAGTTTAAAATTGAATATATTTAAAATCCAACATATTTAAACGACTCCACAAATGTGTTCGATTTACACCAAGAACAAAGAACCAAGAAACTTGAGTTTTAAGATAAACACTCAAAACCAATAAAGAAAACTACAAATTTGACAGATCATAAGCCATGAAAAGACCAAAAAAATGGGTTTTAGAATGAAATTTCAACTGCTTACCCTTTTTTTTGTCCAGAAACTCAGATTAAGGTTGAATTAATACATGTATATATATATATATATATATTTCAAAAAAAACCCAAGAACATATTAATTCAGAACATATTATACAGTGCAATTTGAACAACCTAACCTCAAAATATATGGTATATATAAATAAATAACTATAAAAGTATAAATCGTAAATATTACAAATATTTTTTCACAGTATATATAATATATAATAATATAATTAAGTCAAAAACTATTCAATATTGGACTCATTTCGAARGTATTAACGAGATGATTATAATGATGTAACTTGTTAAAATAAAAATGTATTTTTTAAACATGTTTTAATTGATATACGATTATGCATGTTAATTTAATAAAGGTTTAAAATGAAACATTTAAAAGTAAAAGACGTAAAATAAATTAATTAACTAATCATAGGGATATAAAGTGTAAATTTAAAATTATAATTTTAAAAAAATCGGTTCCGAAAAGGTGAGTGTATGTGAGGAGAGAAGGGGGTGAAAAAGTGAGGTAGTATAAATAAGGGTATCTTGGTCATTTAGTATTTTAAGACTTTTGCTAAATTTGTTTTATAAGATAGTATAGATTAATATCAATATATTTTTTTCAAATTTATATTTTATTCAAAAATAAAAACATCATCATTTTTTCAAAACCACATAAAACCGTATTATATCGACAGAGACAAA